AAGCAACAGCTGCAGCAGCACCACACTTAGAACATGCTCCACCAGCAAAGGCTCCTTCAGAGGAGGCAGCGCTACTACCGAGTCAGGGCAAGCAATCTAAGAGAAAGCATGTTCAACCCTCACTGGGAGGATGGTTGACTCCAAAGAAAGAAGTCAAGTTGGAAGTCAAAGAGGAGTCACCGGAGACAGTTAGCTCGGGTGGGAGTTTAGTGGTCTTGGGGCCTGTAGAGCGTACCCGCCAAACAAGGCAACCACACACCCCTGTTGCTGGAAAGGCCAAGAGACTACATCAAATGCAAATAGCTTTCAAAAGGTCTGGGCCAGGCCTCAAAGGAACTGAGGGGAGAAAGGCCTTGGAAGAGTTGAAAGCAAGTCGCAGTGCAAGTCGCACTTCCCAACAAACTCCAACGCCGCCTGAGAAGAAGAGACAGTGCGAGGTTGATGACAAAGAGCCATCTGCCAAACGGCCCAGAAAACCAGCCACACCAGCCAAAAGCACGATAGGGCAGCCAGCAGAATCACCAAGATCAGCTTCTCAGCAGGTTTCCTGCCTAGTGCTTCGCGAGGAAGCTTGGATGTGGTTCCGGCGCAAAGATATATCCCCCATGTACCTTTTCCGCAGCTATGCCTTGAACAACCTCCCTGCCAGCTTCCACATTCTTGTCACCGACACCCTTGGCAATGAGTGCGAACATGTGGGGACTATTGAGTTTGACAAATGCGAGGATGTGCGCAGGTTCTACCCGTGGAAGTCCTACATGCTCAATGCTTTGGAGTCCAAGACATGGGCCAAAAGAGTACGGGACAAGGAGAAGGTTTGTGCATGGCGAATCCAGGCAGTCCAGCCTCTAGATGCTCCTATCAGGGTGCGGTTTGCTTCAACCAAGTTCAGAAACAGACACTTCACATGCAAGAAGAGACACTTATACCAAGTAGTGGATATGCTACCTCCAGCCCCTTCTCTCTTTGAGACCGCGAAGTTCTTTGTGAAGCTACTACCTCCCCGATTCCAAGAAAGGCTTGCACAAGTTGCTCACGTGATGGATCAGCATGTCTTGCGTGTTGGCACTGCCTGTTCAGGTTCTGATATCTGTGTGGTTGCAATTCGTGCTCTTCTTGAAGCTATGAACCATCAATTTGGTGTTCCCTGTCAAGACTGAATCAAATGTTCTAAGTGTATGACCCCCCAACAACCATGTGACAATGTGTCCATAAATATGTGCACACGTGTACATACATAATCAGAATACCCGAATTGTTATTTATTATACGATTCTCGTGATGCAGCACTCAGGTTCAGATTGGCCTGCGCCACGTTTTCTCTGCTGAGTCTGACCAGGCAAAGCTTAAGTACATTTTGGCAGCGCATCCCAGTGTGGAACATTGCTTTGCTGATTGCCACAACTTCGAGGACATGTCAGGCTTTTGCTACAAGTGTGGCCGGGAGCACGCCATTGATAGTTCTATGAGGGCAGACCTGCACCTGTGCGGCCCCAGCTGCAAAGACCTCAGTATCCTGGAGGCTGTTTATGTAAAATGTTTTTGTTGTAAAGTCGGTGTCTTCTTGCTCTTGTCCGCGGTGACTTCACTGACTGTAAGACATATTATATATATGAGATACATATATATATATATATAAGTATATACAAATGTGTATCTTGCCAGTGCTATTACCAAACTGCCCAGGCAAGAGGAATCCACAACGTGTACATTATGCAGGATGCTATGAAGATTCATCAGGCATGGGCTCGAGTGGACCAACCTATAGATCTGGATTTAGAGCCGTGATGAAACACTTGGGTCCTGCGGTGAGTATCTATGAGAATGTGAAATCCGTGGCAGAGCAAACAAGGTCTGCAACTGGTGACATCCATCGCCCAGTCATTGAAGTGGTCAAAGAGGATGTAGAAGCTTTGGGGTACCGCTTTGTGCTCCAGCTGCATCGGAGAATATATATATATTTTTTTTCATATATAATATAAATATATAAATCTCTCTATATATATATATGAATGAGTGTGTTCTATGTTTTGTTGAACGGTATTTATCAAAAACAACCTTTGGAGGGTCTGATGGTGCACCTGAAGTTTTGTTTGCCCCAAAGGCCTTTAACAAAGTGGACTCGCAGCACTTCCTAGTTCGGCAGCGACGGAACCGAGTGTATGGTGTGGCAGAAACACATTGTGGGAGCACACGCGCAGAAGGTGAATTTGATCGTATGTTGTCTGGGGCGCTTTCCAGTCTGCAGACACATTTCCACTTCAGGATGGAAGAGTGCTTTCTCAGTGATCAGCCTCAAGAAAAAATCCGTGGAGGGCGTCTGCAGGACCAAATAAATGTTGCCATGGAGAAAGCTCGCGCAGCTACCTGGTTTTGTCTTAGCTGTTTTTTTGGGCGACCTGGTCATGTTCTAAGTGTGGATACCCCAAGGATAGAGTGCTTTCCAGCTTCAACTTTATTCACTCTTTATATATATATATAATTACATACGTTATATATATATATACATATATATATATTATGGTGGGGATGCATATGTATATATATATATATGTATTCAATGTATATATATATAATGCGCTATATATATATATTTATATCAACGGTTTGCCCAATGCCAAGGCTGGACATGGTGAGAACATCTTCGTAGACTGCTCCACCTCCTCTCAGCGGGCCCCAGAGGCTGCAACCAATGTGGTCACGTGCGTGTCTCCAACCCACGATGTGTACTCCAACTTGCTGCAAAGGTTTTTGAAACCAGAAGAATTCCTTTGGGCACAGGGGATTTGGCGTGCAGACGCAGAGAACCCGGTGGCATATGATGAGATGATATCAAGTGGACTGGCGCAAGACCTTGCAGGCAATTCTTTCACGAGCACAGTGGTGCAGGCCATCGTTTTGTCATCCTTTGTTTCCTGTGATTGCTGGTTCCATATTGAGCTGGAAAAGGTGAAATCGAAAACCACCGATACCAACAAGATCCAGGTAGAGCTTCAGCAAGATGACAAGCAAGCCGCGACTGGTGCTGGAGGCCAGCTGAAGGATGTGAAGGTCAAGCTTGAAGCCATTGACAGTCCTGGCATTTCACCCCAGAAAGAAGAGAAGCTGAAGGCTGTGAGGAGCAAGCTGATGGCGTTTTCTGAAGGCGATGGAGCCAAATTGGTTGAGAGGCCTTCCAATCTACCCCAAGCAGATGAACAGCAAAGGGGGGTGAAGCGCAAGGTGAGGGATGTCAGTGAAGCCAAATTGGGTCACCGCCGCGGCAGTCCAGAACTGACGGATCAGCAACTGGCTGAATGCAAGACGTCTGATGGTGATCAACTTGTTCAACAACCTGCTGATGAACAGAAAGTTGTGAGACGACGTTTGCTGCAGAAGTCTAATCCCGCAGCCTTGCTGCAGCTCATGCCCAAGAAGAAGACCAGGGGCAAAGGACCAGGCAACAAGAACGGGAAAGGAAAAAAGCGCATGGCCACGATCTGGGACAAGAATGAGATATTCCTGGCATATGACAAAGCCAAGGCCAGTGGTGAAAAGAATCCCATCAAGGCTGTTGAGAATAGAAAGCTCCCGGGATACTTTCCTGGCTGTTTGTATGAGTCCAAGTGGGGGGGCTGCCCGCCGAGAGCAACAGTGGGCATTGCTGTGCGCAAGCGCTCCAGCCCTTTGCAAGAAGCACAAAGAACTTCCAAACAGTCTTCGGAGAATCCTCCGCTTCAACAAGCAGAAGCACGGGGCCCCGACCAAGGACACGGCAAGGTGCTACATTCCATTGGCACTGGAGCAAGCAATTGAATCCATGATCCTTGACCGGATCCTTCTGGGAGAGGAGACCACCATGGTTTTTGTGAAGAACACCATTGTGTGGGCTGTGCAACTTTGGAATGAAGTGATAGAGATGATCCGAACGGACATCAGGAACAATGGCCTTGAAACCATCAAGCAGCAGGACGAGGAGCTTGCAGCTATGACGCCTTCTCGCCTCAACCACTTCTTCCAGGAGTTGGCAGACAATTCAGATGAACTGCTTCAGCCTATCAACCTAGACCTGAATGATGCTGCTCTCTTGCGCCTGAGCTGAATTTGATTGCAGTGGCAAAAGCCAAAAATAGATGTTCTAAGTGTATGTTCAACAAAGGGAATGATCTTGACTTTCCATTTGCATACTGTATATGAATCCAAATATATATATATATATATACTGTCAGAAAAGAAACCGACTAGATCAGCCTATATATGAGGGAACATGAGCACTCTGCTACAACACCTCTATAGTTGCAATAGATGTTCTAAGTGTATGATCC